TGCCAGATCAAATTCGTTACACTCAACTTTGGTGTGTACACCTGAGCAAGAAAGTTACCTACCAGAATGGATGTTCACTATGACGACAAACCTGGTGATATAACCAGACAGTTTCATCCAATAACCCTTGTTAAAACCGAAGATAAAGTTGATGAGGATGCAGACTGGCTCCAGCTAGCTGATTCAGTGCCTCATGAATGCGAGGATGTTTGTCTACCTGGTAGGCTTTATGAAAACTCAGTGACTGAACAAAATGGAGACTCTACTGTCTATAATGCACTGTCATTGGAGGATATGCAAGAGGAGGATACTATTATTCCATGTTGGTTTCTTGATGATGATGATGACAATAATGATGATGATGATGATGCTAGTGACATACTTGTACATAGTCAGTTTGGGGAAAGTGAGTAAAAAAAGACCTCTCAACCCAGTAACAGTAATCTTTTTATTGATTGCCTCTTGGGGTTTGTGATTTCCCTATTAATGACTCTTCATGAAATATTGTGAGAGCTTTATCTTCCACTATCACCTAATCACTCGCTCCTGGCATTACCTTACCTCACCTCACCTCACCATTCCTCTTCATTTTTTATATGCTGAAACATTTGATGCTTTTGATTTCTGATTATTTTGAATAACATATAAACATAATGTGTGGGATTGAAATAGTTACAGTATATTTGTGTGTTACTACATTTATAAACAACATCTTTTCCAGTACAAGAAATGTCCGATAATGGTGATACAGATGATGGTGATGTACTTTCATCACTGTTGTTGCTGTTCAGTGCTGAACTTGAAAGTAAGCATTGATCTGCAATGACTGAGGAGACAAATATGTTTGCTTGTGTTGTATGTAACTAACAGCTGTGATCTGAGTGGTAAAGTTGACTATTTTGTGTGTGTGAAAATTGACTGAGTTGTGTAACATCACATTTTACTGCACTATTGGATTGAATTAATCGAGTGCTCCATCTTCACTCCCATCCTCAGAATGCAACACTGCCAGCATGGTTAGTGAAACCGAAAGCAGTTCTACTGACAATGATGTGTCATTTACTATGCACATTCCATCCAGATGTATTGCTTGTGAGTAGTCGAGTTCCTGGTTCCTGAAAGAATTGACAGAGCACTCGTTAATTGTTTCTTAGATTCCACTTACCTGATGTGTATACATTTCAGAAACTTTAACCATAGTGTTCAATAGCTATATTTTTCATCCCATCTCCCATCACTCCTTTGATGTATCTATCCCAGGGATAATAATTTGAGAGTTTCTGCCTGTGACCTGGTTGTTGCTTATGACAGGTCGTGTCTTGACTTTTGAGTGCAAGTAGGCATGTTTTAGGTTACAGACATTTCAATTTTTGATTTTGTGATATTCTTCCCTTCATTAAGATGTTGACACTCAGCAGTTGGACTATGGTGATACATTTGAGTCAGATCTGACGAATGATCGGCTCACTCTAGGTCAACTAGACAGTGAGTAGTCTTTATTGTGGTACAGATAAATGTACATTGGTTATAACTATCCCTGACATTTAAATAGGTGTGAGTTTCTAATTCTTCAAGTGCAAAAGCAATTTGCATACTATTCACTCATTGATTTAATTAAACTAATCTTAACCATACTGAAATAATGTCATAGTGTTGCAATTGTTTCATTGTTAAATACTGCTCAACTTGTATCAATTGTGTTTTTTGAGTTAGTGATACATTGCCTTGTTACGTAATATTTAAGTTTGTGGCAATTGTCTCATCATACGGTACTAATTTCTAAGTTTCTGGCAGTAGACCTAATGTGTAAATACAACACATTGGATCTCTGTTTAGTTTCAATATTGATTCTAGCAATTATTCCAACTGAAGTTTTTAACACACTCAAAGTACCATGGTCAATGAAAAATTCCCTCATTAATATACTTGTTAATTAATTGATTTTCATCCACTAATTCTCAGTGAGGTTATACATTTTACTTAAACCGGCTTAATATTTTTTATTTTTTGCAGTCCTATTGCTACTGTTTTCTTGTCTACCTATTTCAATCCTTCTAAATGTTATACCTGTCTTGTGATTTTCCTTATAGCATCTTTGGACCATTCAACTGATGAATCAGTCACAGAGGCTGATGTCTCATTTACTGTACACCTTCCTTCTAGTGAGTACATATGCAAGAATCTTTTCCTTTTGCATCTTCACTGCTTGCAAATTTCTGAATAATTTCTGTCTGTTTTTCTTTCTTGCATTATCTAATTTCAATATTTTAATTTGTTGAGTCACAGAACCAAGCACTTGTTCATCAGAAATTTCTACACAAGAATGCGGAAACAATGCAGGTACACATCCTACACTCATCCTGGCTTGTATTTATTTCTCGCTATCATTTATTTTTCTGTTCATTTAATATTTGCTTATTCCCAATGTAAATCTTTTCTCTGATTTCCTTCTTTTAGAAAAAAATATGCAACTTCTTATTCAGGGTGATGTAAACTCATCAGAAGCCAACTCTAGTCTAGGCAGTGAGTACTGTGAATTCAGTTCTGTTGACCATTCCAGTCACTGCATCTTTTACGTTATAACCTATCTAATACATACTATCATATTAGCATGATACAGGTGGTTGGGAGATGGTATAACTGTACATGCATATACTATTCTTTCACACACCTAATCCACTAATGTATCACAAATAACAACAGGGTTTTGATTCATTTTTATGTGGTACCAATAAGTAGTTTCTCACAAATGTTACGCATGTCACATTTCACCGTGTCCTATCTTTGATGGCATTTTGACAACACATTTTGTTGCTCGTTTGCAAGCTGAGACATGGCCAGTGTTGCACGTTGACGAAGATGATATTGTAGTATCATCCAGTGACAGTGGTTTTCATAGTAATAGTGCCAATGGTAGTCCAGTTTGGTCTTTCAGCACAGATGTTAGCACGCTTTTTCCCAGTGAGTATTCAGGCTGCTGGATATTTTTGTGAATGCTTTCCAATGTTATGCATGATGTAGTGTACATCCACTATAACTATCAGTCTATAATACACTTGGAATGTTGATGGATAGTTGATTTGCTTGAAGTTTCTGTAACAACTTTACCCCATCTAACTTACGATGTGTGAATAGTCACCTATCTTTTAAATGGTGACAACTTTATGCCAAACCATGTACACAGTGCAGTATTCATTGCTGTTTATCAAGTGACAAATCATGCAGTAATAACCAAGTTAACTCTGCCACTGTTATGCTAACAACCTCATCTTTGAGAGATGCATGTTGTTACTGCACATGATTAATTTTCTTCTGTTGAGGACTTTGATCTTCAAAACTTGATATCAAAAATCATGTACTATGAAAACATATGTTGTAATAGTCAAAATTGTTGTTTTACTGTTAAAAGTAAAAGAAGAAGAAGACACAAGTTCCATTATAGCCGATACTGAGAGTACCTTATCAACTCTTGATACTGTCACAACTGGCAGTGAGGGGGAGTCCCCATTACTCTACCAAAGTGAGTAAAATTGAGATTGTCATGCATGGAAAAATACCATTTATAAACAACTAATGGAATGGTAGAAAATGATTTAACAATGTATATCTAACCCCTAAATAATGCCTATATCAATAACACAAAAATTGTGTGTATGATATGGATTATATTGTTCTAAGTGCCCTCAAGTAACAGCATCCGCTGACCAAAGCGTATATCGATTTAGCTGGAGTACAGTTGCTGTTTACTTTTATTAACAATATTTTGAAATCAGCTGTCAGTGTTAACAAAATTGTGTCTCCTTATTATTAATACAAGAGCGAGGCCGAGAAAACATTACCACAGTTGAAAGGATGTAATTTCCTAACAAAAAGATCAATAACAGTGTGGCTGCATGATATTTCAAAGTAGTTGTAGTTGTTAGTATACCCTGCAAGATACATAAATGGTTGAAGTGTCATGAATGACCAGGTAATACTTAATTGAATTCCATAATAAATTTCTTAACCTGTATTTATTATACAGTAATACGTGTCAACTAAACTGTATCCAGTGTAAATTGAAAACTGTTATTGTTTCTAGTACCTTGTACATAAACTTGTTTAATTAAAACATATATACAGTATAAACTTCTGACAACTGATTTTTTCAGTTCTTCAGGTTATCATTATCATTATTATCACTCTCATTATTTCACTTTTTAAACTCTCATTAGAATGCACATGTATAAATGATACCTTCTCCAAAAACAAATTTTGGTCATTTCAAGTTGTATAAATTTCTGGTTTTCAAACCATATTTTCATATCCTGTTTTCTTCCTAATCTCTTTATCTTGCATTATCTTCTTTCTGATTCTTTCAAAACATAGCTGACTGTGATTTACCAAACCAATCAACAGAAACAAAAGATGTAGATACAGCACCATTCAAAAATTCTGTGCAAAGTCAAGAGGGGAATACAACTGTTTCCAAAGGAGAGAGACTTAAAATCCTTTTACCATCACTAAGTGTTGAAGATAATGTGTTTGCCTCTGATGATGATGCTGATTATGCTGATAGAACAAAATCAATGAGTCACAACCTAAGATTAAACTTTGTCAGTAAGTCGTGTGTGAGGCTAAGTTCATCTGGCAGTAGTCCTTCAACACCAACTGGATGGCCAAGCTCATTATTTCCTAAAAATGAACACGAACAAACGTTTTTTGATAAATCTGTGGAAAGAAAACCAGACCAAAGTAAAGTCATAACAGATGATCAGAAAAATGCAAGTATTTTATCATCTGAAGGTGATCAAACTGTAAATATAAATGAAGGCAGTACAGCAAACCATAATCTCTCGTTAAACAATAAATCTAAGAACAAAGCACAAAAAGAACATAATGTTAAACATGTCAATACATCAAATATTGATACGCCACTGTCTCCAAGTCAACGTGATGAACACATAACTGCTATTCAGGGTGTGAGGTTGCATTGCAGAAAGCAAAAGCTTTTTTCAGAGAGTAGTGATGAAGATGAGGAAGCTATTAAACAAGTATTGGTTTCAAAAGTTATTTCTCCAACAGAAAATATACCAAAGATATTAAAAAGAAAAATGCAGTGTGCATCTCTAGCAATAGAGGATAACTATGAAACAGATGTACTCGAAGAGTGGTTTTATGATTGTTATGAACATGATTTTGCATACCATGTTGTTGCTGATGAACTAACATTTCCTAGTGTAACATACCAACAAGCAAAAACCAAAGCCATTGTTTTAGCTGAAGAAATAACTAATGAAGATGAGAGTGATTCAGTACAGGAAATGTTTTTTATTAGCCATCCCATCCAGAATGTTTTTTATGTCATTGTTGATAAAGACTTAACAGACACAGTGATTAATACACACCAACAATCTTACCAAAAAGCAATGCTAGCAAAAAGCCATGCAACATCTGAGCAAGCAGGTGTTACTGAAAAACCTAAGGAAAAAGTAACACCTGTTAAAGAATCAGATCATGAACCATACATTTCTAGGCGGAGAAAGTGGGAAGAAAAGGAAGAAGAAAGTGAGGATGATATTATGAGGTTCCTGTCTAGAGGTTACACGAGAAGAAGGCAAAATGTTACTGAAGGGGAGCTGGATGATGTGATGCGACTGCTAACTGAAGGATACACACATGATACAGACACTGCTGATACTGATTCTGCAACAGATATCTGGGACGAAATTAAAGTTGATGAAGAAAAAAGAAATGAGAGACCAATCTATGATGAAGAAGAGGAACAAGTGATGGTGTATTCTTCAGAAGAGGATAGTACTGAACAGGAGACAGAGCCTGAAGCTCTAACTATTGTAAATCATGGAGACATTCATAAGCCAGCATCACATGAAGAATATCAGGAAGATCAGGAATACATACAAGACTCTGATACAAGCTGCGACTTGTATAAAACTGATGATGAAGAAGAAAGTACCAATGCTGGCAAAGATTATTATGCTGAAGACTCTGACTGCTCATGCCTGGAAACTGACAGTGAAGCAGCATTTGGTGATGATGAGGATGATGATGTCATGGCCTTTCTTTCTGGTGGTATTTCTGCGACCAGGAGAAGACAGTATTACAAAGCACCACCTCCAGATGAGGATGAAGATATAATGAAATTTCTTTCTTTTGGTACTACTGTTCAAGAAAACCAAGTTGATGATCATTTCCATGCTATGGGAGATGATGATGGAGAAAGTGTCCCTGAGATGATAGTGACTAAAACTGGGGATACTGAAAGTGATGATGAAACCCTGAAAGCAACTTCAGATGAAGAATCTGAAAGTACATCAGAAGGAACAATTGAAATGGAATATGAGATAGATAGATTTCGTGATGAATATGATGATGAACTCCCTCCGGAGGATGCATTTATTCGGCCAGTCAAAATTGCTTTTACACAAGACAGGGAAGATGATTATGAGGAATCTTATGAAATAAAAGACCAGGATGGTGAGATGTTCATGGAGAGACTGCTTGACACAATACCAGAAGAGGAGGAAGAAGAGGACACTGAAGAAGATGGAAAGAGGTCTGAAGCAGATACTGCATATTGTTCAGCTTTGGAGTCATTATCACCAGATGATGATGACTTCATGGTTTCAGAAAGTGGAGATGAAGACAAAATCAAAGAAAGAAAATCAGGTTATTTGTTAAAGTCATATGAAGAGGAGGATGTTGATCCTATGCAGTTTCTGTCAAGAGGGTTCACTGGGGTTCGATCAGGCAGGTTCTCTAAAACTGTTCATGAAGAGGAAGAGGAAGATGATATTCTAAAGTTGCTTTCTCAGGGATTTTCTGAAAGCATACCCAAAGATGTTGAATCTGAAGATAGGTGGGAACAGAGAGAAGTTGTTTTGCATGATGATGCAGATGATGAGGAGGAATCAGCAGCAGAAGAAGAAGAAGAAGAAGAAGAAGAAGAAGAGATGGAGGTGGAGGTAGAGGAAATAGAAGCTGTTTATAAAGAAGAAGAGGAAGATGATATTCTAAAATTACTTTCACAAGGGTTTTCTGAAAGTATCCCTAGGGCTGTTGAACCTGAATATGTGTGGGAACAGGGAAAAGATTTATTAAGTGATGGTGCAATGGATGAAGATGAAGACGAAGAGGAGGAACAAGCAGAAGAAGAAGAAGAGGTGGAGGAAATAGAAGCTGTTCATGAAGCAGATGAGGAAGATGATATTTTAAAATTACTTTCACAAGGATTTTCTGAAACTACCTCTAGGGTTGTTGAATCGGAATACGAGTGGGGACATGGAAGAGAAGTTTTGAGTGAGATGAAGCATGACGATGCAATGGATGAAGATGAAGATATCCAACAAACTGAGGGAGAAGAGGAGGAGGAGGAGAAGGGAAAAGATGAATATGTTTATGAACCAGAAGAGGAAGATGATATTTTAAAATTACTTTCACAAGGGTTTTCTGAAAGTATCCCCAGGGTTGTTGAATCTGAATATGATGATGAAATGGATGAGGAACGGGCATATAATGATGATGAAGAGCTAGAGGTGGAGAGAGAGGAACTAGAGCGGTTAGAAATAATTGAAGATGGTGACAGACTGATCTCAGTAGGCAAGCATGATGATAAAACAAATGAACTACAAATATCGGAAGATGATAAACACTATTTCTCTAGACCATCCAGAGTGAGGAAACAAGAGGTACACGAGGACTATGACAATGATGATGACATATTGGCATTGTTATCTGGGGGTATCAGAGATTTTTCAACAGACTACTCAAGTTCCAGCTATGATGAGGAATTCATTTCTGATATAAGACCTGAGGTTGTTTCAGTCGAGTATTCTGAAGCAGAAAGTGTAATGATAGAATACCCAGAAATGGCTTTATACTTTGCTAGTGAGGATGAAGTGCCAAGTGTGGTCGCTGATGAGGAACGAGTTGAATTGTTGGTGCTGGACTATACAAGGGCACTCCCTGTGGAATATGAAGAGGAATTGAAGGTTGATCTGATTGAAATAACAAAGGAAGTTGCAGAAGAAAACTTTGAAATAGTGCATATGGTGTATGCTACAAAAGATAGTGAAATGTCTTTTGTTGAAGATGAAAGCACCTTGTTATTGCAGATGCCTGACCCAGAGCTGTATATTACAGAAGGACCAGTTAGGGAGCTTCGGCAGGAAAGTATCATTGAACCTGTAGGCATCATTGAAAATGTTAAACTATCACTTGTACTTCGGAAGCAGCTTTGCGAGGATGAAAAAAATTGTGAAGATGTCTTCGAACTTCTTGCTCAAGGTATAGCATCAGAAGTATCAGTCAATTCTAAAATAAAGGAAAAAGATAAAGCTGAGGTTGCTGAATCGATAGTGTCATTAAAGAAGACACATCTGGTTGAAAAAGCAGTAGTGAGAGGAAGTGTAAAGGCTGCAGAAAAACTAGACACTGAAGTAAGCGAAACAGAACCTGGATGGAATGAGGTTGCAAATAAGATGGAAGAAACTTCTGAAATGTTAAGAGAGATGACAATGCCGACGGCAGATGTTCTTCAAAGTGAGTATTGTGGCATTTTCATTTACAGTGTGTGAATCATGAAAGAACAAAGTAATTACAATTCATCACCTTAGTATATTGTCTCTACTGAAAAATAATTCCATCTGATGCAGATTGTGAATGCACAAGTAGGTTATATATGTATATATTACACATCAATAACGTCAAGACATTTACTCTGAAGTTTATCCATTTTCTGAGCATTTAGCATTTCAATAATTATTCCCTCATCAGGTAATATGACTCCAGCTATGAGAGAAGTGCTCTCTCGCTTCAGTGCCGAAAGTGAGTACATGATGTCACAGTTTTTTTGTAAAAAGTTTGCATGAACCTCTAATTCCAATAATTGTAATTGTAATAACAGCATCTACTGTGTGTTAGAAATAAACATATTAGGAGTTAGCGTTACTGGTAAGACAGCAGATGCTGTCTCAGTAGGTATAGTGATTTTCTATTACAGAAATCATTGTAATATTTTAATTTTCACAACACTGGCATGTATTATGCGATCAACTGAAATAAACATTAACATTATTAAAACAGTTTGTGGTGTGGAGATTTCATAGAAATTAATCTTAAAAATACACACTAACATGGCATGATATTAAATAAACTCAACAGACAAAACTTTGTCTTGTGTGGGACAATAATTCCACGCCTTTTTCATTCTGTAGTTTTGACTCACCATGTATGCAATATGTTATTTACATTTTCTGGCATACCAGTCTGTATTAGTCAACATCATTAAATGAATGTGTTTTGAGGCATGTTGTGATACAGCTGTTAGATGCAATGCATATATTTTTAGCTGACTCTTGACTTCTATACATCTTCCTTTGGAAGGTCTATCTTATTTCCAACCAGTCATTCTTATGGGATGTGCAGCCACCTATGCTTGTGAGTTTTTATTTCTCTATATTTATTTTTCAGTTTAACAATTTTTTACATTTTCATTTTGTAACTCCAGTTAGAATTCTTTTGTTCACATTTAACTGTTTTAAATTATTTTCAGTGAGTGTCTTCTTGTCGACTTTCTCTTCTGGTATTTTTTGTGCTGTCTGCTTGAGGTCATTCTTGAAGGTGTCAAAAATACCAGCATCAATGGTGCTTGCTCTGCCTTCTACAACATCTGTTTCAGGTACTACTGTCTGGGCATGATGTTTTCACTCATCCAATGTTAATCAGTTTGATTGTTCTGTGACTGTATAACTTAGTGTACTAGTAGAATTAACTGCATGCCCAGGCTGGGAATAGAGATACATTTCACAATTCTTTGGGGACTAAAGTTGGCAAATTACATGTGCTTATTTGCTTCTTCAGGACTAATACTTAAACTGTAAAGAATAGGATGAGGCCTGAGTATACAGACTCATCTGGAGCTTAAGATTTGATACACCTTAGCTTTATCTAACTCAAATCTGCCACTCTACACCATACATGTACATGTATATCCATTTTGAGTCTCAAACACTAAAAATCCTTCAGCGAGTGTTGGAAACGACTTGCAAGAATTTCATTTTGGAAAAGAGTCACTATCCATTTTTGCCACAAAAGGAGTAAAGCTTTTATTGCGCTATGTATATGTGCAGTATACATGTGCATAAATCTTGGAATGGTATATTGTAAATGTAGCAGGTGGACGCTATAACCAGTGCTCACCTAATGATCAGATCAGAATATTCATGATCAAACTCAGAACATCAAGCATCCCTAAAGCCAATAACTGCCATCAAACTCCCTGTAGCTAAAAGGCAAAACTGTCAGATAATCTATATCAAACTACTATAAATTCCTAGGGACTTTGCATGATATATATAGTACCTAGTACTTCACTTGATCCTTGTGTCCGGTCTAAAGATACAGAAAGCAGTCATTAATAGTTTCTATAAATGGCAATATATGGCATTCTCATTGGTCAAAGCTTTAGGCAGTAAAGTAAAAGTAAAGGGAAAATTGATAATAAAAAATTGTGTGAATAATTATATACTTGTAACACTATAGTATTGTAGCATGTACTGTTAAGGTACAATTACATGTCAAATGTCTTTTGTAAATGCTTATACTAAAACAGATTCTTTTGCACTAGTTAGAAACTTAATCTAGCTGCTTTATGTGAACTTCAAAATTCAATTCGAAAGAATATATTGTAAGTTCAAGCTGGGCAAACAAGAAACAGTCTGATATTGCAAGTTTAGTATTTAAATACTATTAGGTAATCAAAACAAAGAAACAACATTCAATGCAAACATATCTTGAAATTATCTTTCTTCTTTGAGCAGCTTGCCAGAACTGACTGGTTTCCTAGTTACATAACAGTAACAGCTTTGAGCAGTTATAACATTTCCATTTGCTGTGCATGACCTTTGCCAGAGTAAAAGTTGTCATTTGGCCCAAACATCCAGGACACGGTTTAATCAATAAGACAACTAAACAAATAGCTGGCTGACCCACAGAAAGCCAGATTCAAGCAGGATGCTTTGAAATCTTGGCAATAATTTAACATAAAAATGACAATGCCTAAAATTAACTCAGAAAGTGTCAGATTGTTTGATGAATGAAAAGAGGATTTTAGCATTTGCTATGACATCTCATTCTGAACATTGTTATTGAAGGGATTTATAGTATGAATAATAGTATAAAGCATTGATATGAGTAGTATGGTAATATGCAGTTTATGCTGATTACTAATGTCCACATGTGAACTGTTCCCCCATCAGAGACCAATGAATATCCTGTTTGTAACATAAATGTACCAGAAAATGCTGACACTGATATTGATGAAAGTGAGTACATACTGATTATTGGAGTGGGAGGGAGGGAGGAGCATTGTCATATTATATGGCATTTTGTCATGAGTCATGGTTTGGTCTTGTAATGTCATTCTGACCACTCAGGTCATCATAAATTATACTAGTCTAGTAATTCATAGCAGCATGTTATAAGAACGATTCAGCAGTTTACATTAAAATATTTAAACATCTTTAGAGAAAGTACCAGTTTATTGTAAGTCAGTAATGACAACTGGCAGTGTTAACATTCCTGGGAGTAAGGTTGAACACCTTGAGGTGACTTTTTGATTTGAGTATTCTTGTTTGGTTCTGATCTCAGTACCTTTGTAATAGAACATTTTCCGTACACTGCGAGAATCACGCGTTATGCGTGAAATCGAACGTAAAAACAGGACAAACAAAGGTCATAGCGTCGTAGTCGCGTCAAACATCGCGTGGGATTCGACAAACGCGAAAGTATTTTGGGGACATTTCCATGCTTAATAATGTGCTGTCCACATTTGATGATAGACAATTTCGATTATTAAAGTGAGGGTGTTCGGAAGCAATATTCCTCTGTCGAAGATCGGCCGGTCAATGTAAGCTGCGAAATAAAGAAATTCTAGTTCAAAATCAAATCGTTCGATTTTTGCGGCAGACGTTCGACGTGCGTCTTTCATGCATCTCGCAAGATCTCGCAATTGTTCGGAAAATCACCTATTGTTCTCAT